TTCTACAACATGAAAAGAAATTATTTATTTTGTTGAATGAAAGAAAATACTTTTTCTATATCATGAAAAGAAAATACTCAGTTTGTTGAAATGAAAGAAAATACTTTTTCTACATCAGAAAAACAAAGTACTCGTTTTGTTGAAATGAAAGAAAATACTTTACTACATCATGAAAAGAATATATTCATTTTGTTGAAATAATAAAGAATACTCTATCTACAACATGAAAAGAAAGTACTCTTAATAATAGTTCTATTTAGGGTGGGTGGTGGGCAAGGTTGGAGTGGGTGGGTAGGAGAGTGGGGAGTTGGGGTGGGTTGGTGGGGATGGTAAATAGGGTGGAGAAGGTTGAAAAAGAATTTTGGAAAATGTTTTCACTTCTTTTGATAGGGAGGAAAATGGTTTATGAGGAAAATGTTTTCTAAAATATTTAAGCCAACCAAACATGGAAAAATTAGAAAATATTTTCCGGAAAAATTTTTCCTCATACCAAACACACCCGAAATCTTCTTGTTATTTCTCCGGGTATTGTGTGAATGCAACGAAAAGACCGTAAATAACGATTAATGAAACAATTCATATATTGACATTTTGAGCTCATTTCCAAATTTCTACTTTGATATTCCCATCATCCGGTAACCACAGGATGATCCACAAGAAAGGTGGTAGGGTTCGAACCTAAGGCCAGCCTGCCCCAGACTGAACTATTCTTTTCAGTTACTACTAGTAAGAGCAACCAACAATGAGCATATAGGTTTGCTAAAACAATGTAAAAATAATTATCTGATAATGTTTCTTGAGGAATTTATTCATTATGAGTAGGTAATATGAAAAAATTCACTAGCTTCACTTGTCATTGACTAGGAACATAAATAACATCCTTAATATCAACACTATTTTAAGTTGTGGTGATCTCACCCTTAACAAAGAAATGCGAACCAAGTCGACCATTTTTCCATCAAGCTCACTTCTCATCTATTGGACTAAAATAGTTCCTTTGTCAATGGGTTCCATAATATGTGAACAACAAATGCAGTGAAAGCGAACTCAAGTCCCAGAGAAATATCATAGTTAAAAAAAAACACAAATGGAGGAGAGAAAAAGAAGGTGATTTGTTGTTATCTACCTAAACTTTGGTGGGTGAAGTTACTCGATGCCTGTGCTGTGGAGGTAGCAAGTATCCGATGGAATAGTTGAGATGGGCACAACACCGTTATCAAAACAAAAGAAAAACATAAAGCCTATTATTCTAGCATAATTAGCTTTTCATTTATCTGTGCACCTCGTCTGACAGCTATTTTTCGAAAACTTCAAAGAGCAACTTTTAGAATAGTTCACCACCATGATGATCCTAACACATATGAGGATGCTAGGGTTGCTATCCAATAAACGTTTTCGGCACTTATCCCTGAGATTTACAGTAAGCTTCTTCTTTGGTTAAAAAAGAAATTATATTGGAAGAGCAAAGACGAAGAATACATGGTTAAGGCCAAGATGTTCTTCACAAGCAAGCTATCAACAACACACTGGAGTGTTGTGCGGACTACAAAATGCTGCCGCACCCGTAGCTAGTGGCGGACCCAGAATTTTTATCAAGCGGGTTCAAAATGCAAAAAAGCAAATATATAATTTATAATTTCAGATTTTAGATTCTATTAAGAAAAAAATTAAAACATGTAGTTTTCTTTCCCTAAATTGTATATATATAAAAAATATTTCCTAGTCTAAAAATGATAAATAAAAGCTCTCCCATGTCGTACGAACATAGGAAAGAAAAAAGCTGTGTTGTGTATAGGATATAGGGAAACAAAAAACGTGATGTTTATAGGAAGAAAAAAATGACTGTTGTATGCATATAGGAAAAGAGAGTGCCCATTATGGGGCTGGTTGGCTTCGAACTCAGGACAACCTAAAAGAATTGAACTCGCTTTGCCATTGGGCTGGACGTTGTCCTTGTTCTAAGCGGGGTCATCATAAATAATATACTCACATTTTCTGAAAGAAGGATAATATATATATATATAGTGTTATTTTTTGATGAAGCGGGTTCATATGAACCCTCTTGACCCCATGTGGGTCCGCCCCTGCCCGTGGCGGGTCTTCCAAAAATGCATTACTTTTGGAGGATACAACACGCACCCGGCAACATTTTCGGAGAGTCCGAGCAACATAGGTTATTCTACATGATCACTTAGCTAAAAGCATAAGGGTGAAATTAGATCAAGTTTAGTTAAAATAAGATCAAGTTTAGTTAATGTTTGAACCTAAGGCATCTTTATGGAAAATGCAGACTCAGAAAATAAGCAAACGAAATGATAAAAAGGTTCTGAAACTTGTTTTCTGACAATCAGGCCTGCTAACTTCATATGTTAAAAATACCAAGAAATGAGCAATGACAATAGCAGCCGCACTACACCATTACTAAAAGAGTTGCATTTGGATTAGACTAGTATGACTGTATGAGCACGAAAGAGGAAATTATAAAAGCAAAATTAAGAATTATATAAGGAAAAAAAGACCTACTTGGTCACATTATCATTTTCATTTTGGATACAGATTAGGCACCACAGAGTGCCACGGCTACCGAAGTGTTAAGTACCAATTTGATGTATGGACAGTTGCCACTTGCCAGACAAATATTTAAACATGTGTAAGAGACAATGGCTTACCTTTTCCAATTCCCTGACACCTTCGGCATACTGTTCCTTTTGTAGCAATGCAAGACCAAGGTAATAATGGGCCTGTACTCCCAGAATTCACTCTTTAGGTTATTATCTGTAGGGAACGAAGAATTTCTAGCTACACCAACTTAGAAAGACAATAAATTCAGCAGATAAGAAACAGAGGTTTTCTAAAATTATTCAGCTCAGTTCTATCTGTGATTATGTGGATGCTCTAATAAGTTAAATTATCCTTCTAAAACTTTGACGTTGCAAAAACCTTTGAAACAGTACCAAATTAACAATCTCCAGAATTTACATCATTAATACCTCCAGAGTATCTATGCATTATTCTATGCGAACAGCAAGATTACAAGAATACCATATTTGAGTTGTTTCCACAGTTATCCTATTAAGGTAACTGCTGTCTCATCATACGACTTCTCCGGTAGAACAATAAAGATTTCACTTCATTCATACTTAATCGTTATGACCATAAATATTATTAATATCCATGAGAAGAAAAGGCTAGATTTAGTTAAACACCGAGAAACACGCCTAGTCCATCCAAAGAACAAAGGAAATAATAAAATATCAACATTGATAGAACATATATATAGTTATATGAATTCCCCACATTGGAAAAAACGTAAAATTATGCTTAAATGTAGAGTACAAAGTTGGCACCTTTACAGAATTGTGATCGAGCTGAATAGCCTTTCTGCAATCCTCCTCCACTCTTTGCCAGTCACTACATACCAACAACGACAATAATAAAATAAACATATACAAAGACATCACTAAAATGCCCCCAAAAAGAAAATTGGTAGAAACGTACTTCCTCTTCCGATGGCACAGGGCACGATTAGTCCAATAAATGGGAACATTAGGGCACAATGTAATAGCCTAGAAAATAAAACATTCAGTAGCATCAGATATGTTAGAAGAGTAAGGAAATGAAATAAAGAGGAATATTTTCATTTAACCTAACAGTAAAAAAGACCTCTGTATAAGCATCAATAGCAGCCCCAAATCGATTCTTTTGAAAGTAACTGTTGCCATCTTGCTTCAGTTGCTCCGCTTGCTTTGAACCCACGATCGGTGACATTTTTCTCCTTTTCCTTTTTTCTGCGATCTTAAAATCACCTCGACTTCCTTCAATCTCTATAACCCCACCCCCACCCCCCACCCCTATTTCTCCGTCCAAATTATATACCGGCTATAGATACAAGTATATACAGAAGATGTGAAACAGGAATTTTTTGGGGTGGAGTAGAGAAAAAGATGAAGGGCTGGAAAATTAAATTGAAATTGAAAATTTGGAGGAAATTGAGCGGCAAGAGGGAGAAGAGTCGTCGCGAAATTTCAAGAGCATCGGATGCCAAATGCGCAGAAAGGAGAAAGCAGCGATTGCGTCACATATATGATGGTGCGCCAAATGGTCACAATTCAACATGATTGGGCAGGCTAACCAGCTTTCTATTAGTCAATTAAGAGAACAGTCTTTTTATATTTTGGAGCCTCGGAGGTATTGGTGTCAATGGTTTGGCTCGTTTGTTTATTTTATAAAATTTGTCTTATACTAATTATTCGGTTATTTTATTATATATAATCAAAATTAAACTTTTCGAATTCGTCTTAATCATGTCGGTTTCTCTTTGGTATCGGTACCCTTCGATAATTTTTCAATATTTTTTTTAAATGTCATGTAAAAATTCGAATGCAATAACATAGGTACTTTTATAAGATTTAGCAAAATTTTCTAGACATTTTTACAGTTTAAAAGGTGATGAATTAAAAAAATATGAAAGGTGACCACAGTATAGATCCATCAACTATTCTATATCAGCGTAAAAAAAACTAAACAAATACAGAAAAAATATAAATCACACAAGTAAAAAGATATTGACCAAATTGAGATTCAATAAGAAAGTATATAGAAAATTAAATATTTTAAAAGATAAAATCTAAATTATACGAAAGGAAACATATTCAATACATTGTAGTTTGCTATTTATAATCGCTATAATACCTTGTGTCTTGCTAGCGAATATGATAGAAATAATTTATTTTCAATAGGAGTAGCATAATAGGTTTGGGAATTAGGATTTTGAGTTTAATTACTTGTTGGCTTGTAACTGTTTCATATGCCCAAGAAAAAGATTAATGCTTTATTATTTATAAACTTAATATATAAGTATATTTTTCACATTATAAATTTATTCAGTACGGTTCGGTATTTTTCGGTTTTTTTTCATAAAATAAAAAACATACCCTAATTAACGGTACGGTTATAGATTTATATAAAAACCTACGGTTTTATTAAGAGAAACCTAAAAATCGGTTCGTTATGGTACGGTTTGGTCGGTTTAGTCGCTTTTTAAATATCCATTCACACCCCTACTCGGAGGTAAAGTTATTTCCGTCTGACCTATAGCTCACGAGTTCAAGCCATAAAAATAGTCATTAATGTTAAGGTAAGCTAGAAGGGAATCCAGTATATAAACTTTATGATTTTAACCTTAAAAGTTCTTAGTATTGAACTCGTTATATCATTTAAATATAGGTTCATATTTATAATTTGTTACGCTTTTAGTGAATTTTTGCACATAAATTTGTGCTCCACGTCGAAAATTATGGGTTCAATTGAACCCATTGGTATAAGGCTACATTCGCCATTGTACGTGTCTATATCATACTTATTGAAGTGCGACCTTTCCTGGACCCAATATGAATTAGGAATACTTTATGCACCAACGGGCCTTTTTTGTTTTTTAATTCAGTAAGTTGCATAAAAAGGACGTGACCTTCCTATGCAAATTCGCTAAAACAATTTAAAATATTAAAAGGAATGAACCTGCTTAAAATGGTAATAAAAGCATAGCACAGTAATCAAGTGGGGTCTAAAACAAGTTCGATGATATATTTTTTGTGACTTTTTTTCTTTTAATATATTTTATCAATTTTTTAACTTTATAGAACATGATATTTGATATTTTGTAGGCAAAAAAAACTAAGCTAATTTTTGACCTAAAAGACTTCTTTTTATCACTTTCCCTTTGATTTAAGTAACAACAATTCAAGCCACAGATTTATATACTCCATTCGTTTTAATTTATGTGAATCTATTTGACTGAATACGGAGTATAAAAAAAACTTTTAAAGTTTATGGTATAAAATAAGGCACATATATATTTTGTGTGGCTATGGTAAATTGTTTCAAAATATAAAAATTCATTCTTTTTTTAACGAAAAATTGAGGGAGTATAAGTCAAACAATTCCCTTTTCATATAATATCTACTCACTTAAAAATATTTATACAATCAAATCATAAATTAGATAATTACAAATAATATTTCCATTTAGCATTATTTGATAATATGATAAACATAGTGTAACGACCCGACCGATCGTTTTGAGTATCACAGCCCTGTTTCCCCTTTTACTACTCAATTTGGGCTTTACATTTGTTGTGTGACTTGCCAGGGTAATTGATTCGGGTTCGGTGAGATTTTGGAATGAATTGGAACACTTAGTTCCAAGGTTTAAAACTTAAGTTGAAAAGGTTGACCAGATGTTGACGTATGTGTAATGACCCGGAGAATTTTTGCTAAGGAAATTAAGATTTTGTGGTGTCGAGATAGATCAATTAGTACAAAGGCTCAGACTTTTTGGGTTTAAAATGGTAGAAATTTTCATACACTTTAATTGAAGATTTGAGGGTCGAGTTGATGTCGTAATTTGGTAAAATTTGTATGGTTGGACTCGTGGTTGGATGGGCGTTCATATTTTGTAACTTTTATCGGGTTCCGAGACGTAGGTCCCACGGGCGATTTTTGAGTGTAATTTCGAATTTTGTGGAAAAATTAGTATTTTGATATGGAATAAATTCTTATAATTTAGGTTGACTGAATCAAATTAATTGTGACTAGATTCGAGCCGTTCGGAAGTTGTTACGCGCATAATGAAATTTATGGAAGCATTGTTTAGCTTGCTCGACATTGGATTCGGCTTGTTCGAGGTAAGTAACTCTATTCTTAGAAGCTCATGATTTATACTACCAGTTCTTGGGAAAAAGTATTGGTTTTAGATATTTTCTTTTAATTAATTGTCTCGTTAATTTCATTGGAATCAGATAGTTGGTAATTGACTTATCTAACGGGTTGGGTTAGGTGTCATCACGACTAGTTAAATTTTGGATCGTGTCACACTATAACTTAAACCTATTATTACAAGTTGTGCTAATAGCAAATCTTAGACATTATCACAATAAATAAATTAAACGATTCTCTTCCCTATATAAACCCAAAATTCACCATTGTCACAACTAACCACCACCTCAATTTACCACTACAAAGAAAATGGCCTCTCTTCTCCATTTCCTATTCTTCTTCTTTATCTCATTTCTTCTAAATTTCTCCCCTGTAATATCACTCAAATGCTCGTCGCAAATCTTTTCTAATAACACCCACTTTGCCAATTGCACTGATCTCACTTTTCTCAAATCTTCTCTTCACTGGACTTATAATTCCAAAAATTCTACACTTTCAATTGCTTTTATTGCTCCTTTGCCATCTAACAATGGTTGGATTGCTTGGGGTATTAACCCCACCACCCCCTCAATGATTGGAACTCATTCCCTTATTGCATTTAAAGAATCCAATGGCTCAATTGTTGTTAAAACTTACAATCTTACTTCCTATAAAACCATTGTAGAGTCTAACAAACTTCTGTTTACTGTTTTGGATTCTAAAGCTGAGTCCTCTAATGGGGTTATGAAAATCTTGGCCACTTTGGTACTACCGGCAAACTTGACTTCGGTAATGTTAACATATTTGATTTTTTTTTGGAATCGACAATGCATTTTCCATAATGGATTTTTTTTTAAAAAAGTATAAATCTTTCATACTTGTGTTTCCATCCTTTTTATACGAGGAAAATATTTGAGAAATATATATTTTTAGTCGCTTTAAAAATAATAGGCAACAATATATATGTATATATATATATATATTATACACGTTTTAGCTACCGAATGCAATTAGTTTCGTCCGACTGACCATTTTTGTATTTTTTTGCCAAAATATTTTGTATTAAGACTTTTTCGTTTCACTCGATAACATCAATAATGTTTTAACTTTTTAGAGAGTTTTATTTAGGGAGAAAATTGTTGAGACACAAATGTTAGCATGACACTTTAGTGAACTATTTTGAGAGTAAGGTTATTACTTCAAACATTTTTATATTGTGGATTATTCATCTTGATTTTCGACCATAGAATTAGATCAATTATTCAAAACCAACTTCAATATTTTTTTGGTGTCCACTTTGGTATATGTTCTTTTTATTTACTGATTTACTGTCATTTAAGATTTGTTATTTTTATATGACACCGGATTATTTTGATCCTAACAGGTAAACCATGTCTGGCAAATTGGGCCAGTAGTGAAAGATGGCATACCAGTGGTACATAAGTTTGATGCAGACAATTTGAATTCTAAAGGCATTTTGGATTTGGCTACTTCTTCTGGTGATAGAAAAAAGAATGCCATTGCCCCTACTCATGCTCCTGCCCCTGCTAATAATATTGGTGGACAGAATAGAAAAGAAACTAGTGGATCTTCAAAAATTTGTGAGAGTGATTTTAGTTTCTATGTTTTCTTGTTGTTTCTTGGAGTTTGGTTATTGTAACCTTAGATTGACTAAATTTTCTGATTTGTCAATGCAATAACATGATTCTGGAAATTAGGGTAAAAGGTTAGTAGTAGTCGAGTTTCGGACACCGTATCCTTTCCATCATATCATTCTCATATTATCTATGCTTCGATTTTTATTACTACATGTCGGTTGTTGTTACCCTTGCTTCTGTGGCTTATTGCTTTGTTATTTTAATGTTGTTGTTGCTATTCTTGTTTTCATTAGTCTCAACATGGCTTCTTCACTATTACTTTTCTTTTCAAAACTATTAAGAAATTCATTTTTTGAGTCGAGGGTCTTCCCAAAACAACCTATTTACATTCATAAGGTATGGGTAAAATCTGCGTACACAGTACCCTCTCCAAATCCAACACTATGGGAATACTTTGGGTTTATTGTTGTTGGTAATAACACGATTCTTGTGTTATCGGAGGAGGATCAATTAGCTAATGTTCTAATTTGAAGTGATTCACTAGACGAAATGTCACGTTGGTTCGTTCGTTATGAATTTTATTCTTCTTCTTTTTTTCTTACGCATGTAAAAGATTTATTTAAAATTCAAATTCATTAATTGATGTCTAAGGTGTCAATATATAAAAAACATAAAATAAAAATATTTATTAAAAAAACAAAATGCAAAGCACAAGAACGAGGAGAAGGGGATTGGATTTTCAGTATTCCCTCTTTTATCTTTTCTTACTCATTGTTATATTCACTAACTCAAATTTCTATACTAAAAATGGTTTGCTTATGCAATTATCATTTAAAAGTTGGAGAATACTTTATTTTTTTGCTATATTTTTCTAAAGAAAAACAATGTAGTTCAAACGCACCAAACTCACCCTAACATAACAAATCTAACAGCACATAGGAAACAAAATTGACCTTCCCAAAAAGACCCACTCTTCTGATTTCAAAAATCTCCCCCTCACCTCCTTTACAACTTCTTATTTCTTTCCGCCCTTTAATTTTTTTCATTTTCACAAAATAGGAATTTAACCCTAAATCTCCACAGTACCCATTTACTTGCTTTCTTATTGTCAAAAGGATTGAATTCATTTGAGGGACACTGTCGTTTCTTGGTTTTACAACTCTTTTCGACTAAAAGGGATCTCCTAAATTCGCTTTGAATTATAAAAAAAGATACTCAAGTTCCTCTCTTTTATGTTTTGGGTCTTGAAAGACACTTGTGAATGATATAATATTTTGTTCTTTAAGGTAGCATTTTAAAATATGTCAGATGATATGGTCATTCATTTTGCATCCAATTCTTCAAACCAATTAGACCAGTCTCTGCCCACAATGATTGTTAAACTTGAGGCAAGAATGGTGGGCAAAGCCTCATCTACATCTACATCGTTGCCGTAAATCATCAACTGCAGCCAACTCCACTCCGCAAAGACACAATACCATCTTTCAGTTATAAACTCTAGTTTTTCATCCTCATGTTTATTTTTCTGCCAAAACATAATCATATTTTAATAAGGAGTTTCACCCACCGTCACCACCAAAAGACCACCCATTCTGCCACCACCTCTCCGACTCCTTTTTGTCATTAGATATTCCATATTCACAAAAATCTTACAAATTTTCAGCTCTTTCCTTATCACGAAAATCTTACCATTTTGTCAGCTATCGAAGAATTTCACTAACCCCAAATCCAACATTATAAAATAAAAAATACCATTATTTGAAAGAAATTCAATTAAAAAAAGGAAAAAAAAAAGAGAAAATGAAGGAAAGGAAAAAGGACAACAAGGAAAAGCAAAAAAAGAAAAAGAATAAAAACTATAATATTACGTGGCACAGCGCATGCAAATCACCACCTAATACAAATTTAAGTGTAGCTTTTTAAAGGGGTATATATTCCGTCTTAAAATAGTTTAAGGGGGTATTAGGACCCTCTTGAAATATAAATGTGTAGTTGAAAATATGGTGATAGTTTGAGGGGAGTGTTATGCCTTTTCCAAAATTCTTTTCAACTTTATATTCATTTCCCTTCCTCTCTCCCCTCTCCTGCTTGTAAACTCTTTGTCTTCCCTCAAAATCTTCCCCCTCTCCCCCGTAAGCCCCAATTCTAGTAAAGTAGCTTTTTAGATATAACACATATAAATGCACAAAACTCGCCCTAACATAACAAATCTAACAGCGCATAGGAAACAAAATTGACCTTCCCAAAAATACCCACTCTTCTGATTTCAAAAATCTCCCCCCCCCCACCTCATATATAACTCCTTATTCTTTCCCTCCCTTTAATTTTTTCCATTTCTACAAAATAGAAATTTAACCCTAAATCTCCACACTACCCATTTACTTGCTTTCTTGTTGTCAAAAAGGTTGAATTCATTTGAGGGACACTTTCTTTATTGGTTTTACAACTCTTTTTGACTAAAAGGGATCTTCTAAATTCGCTTTGAATTATAAAAAAAGATACCCAAGTTTCTCTTTTTTATGTTTTGGGTCTTAAAAGGCACTTGTGAATGATCTGATATTTTGTTCTTTAAGGTAACATTTTAAAAAATGTGAGATGATATGATCATTGATTTTGCATCCAATTCTTCAAATCAATCAGACCAGTCTCTGCCCACAAAGATTGCTAAACTTGAGGCAAGAATGGTGGGCAAAGCCTCATCTACATCTACATCCCAGGCTATTTCCTGGTCTGCCCTAGCCAAGTTTGGGCTTGGGCCTAGGCCTGCCAACAATGTTGCTGAGCCTGCTGTCTCTAGTGATTCTGATGATGATGATGATGTAAGTGTTTGTGAAATTCAGATTTTTCTTTCTTTTTTATTACCGTAGGTATGGAAAAATGCAATTCTTATTGTTGTTTAAGTTTTTGGAACTGATAGTGTAAAAAAAGTGCGATATAACATTGTAACGACCCGGCCGGTCGTTTTGAGAGTTATAGCCCCGATCCCCTATTTACTGCTTCCCCCGTATCTATTTTCTACTATTGTGACTTGCCGGGAGGTTTCGTTTTAGTTTTTGGAGTGTTTTGGGACACAGTCTCTAAACGAAGGCTTAAGTCTTAGGATTTGGACCGTAGTCGGAACTATGTGAAAACGTCTTCGAAATGGAGTTATGTTGATTCTGTTAGCTCAGTTGGGTGATTTTGGGTTTAAAGACATATCCGAATTGTATTTTGGAGGTCTGTAGCTTAATTAGATTTGAAATGGCGAAAGTCAAATTTTTTTAGATTTGGACCGGTAGTGGACTTTTTGATATCGGGGTCGGAATCCGATTTCAGAAGTTGAAGTAGGTATGTAATGTTGAATATGACTTGTTTGCAAAATTTGAGGTCAATCGGACGTGGCTTGATAGGTTTCAGCATCGGTTGTGGAAATTTGAAGTTTCAAGTTCTTTAAGTTTGAATTGGAGGGTGATTCGCGAGAAGGGAACCGCACATGCGCAGCCGCAGATGCGGAGGAAGGAACGCATGAGCGAGAATGGGCGGCCTGGGCAGGATCGCAGATGCGGAAGGACATCCGCAGAAGCATGCTTACAGGTGCGTGCCCTGGTGCGCAGAAGCGACTTTTGTGGACTTAAGTTAAGTCCGCACATGAGATGGATTTTTCCGCAGATGCGGTGGACCCCCTCGCAAGTGCGAGATCGCTGGGCAGAAAAGGGGCTAAGTGCGAGGGTTTGATTTCATTCTCCATTTTTGGACATAGAGAGCTCGATTGAGGCAAACTTTCGAGGGATTTTCAGATGAAGGCTTGTGGGTAACGATTCTTAACTCCTTTATGGTTATAACCCACTAATTTATGGTTAATTTCATCATTTAATTAGTGATTTGAGTTGAAAATTTGAGGGAAATGGTAGAAATTTCATAGACTAAAATTTCGAGTTTTGGAAGGCGATTTGAGGTCGGATTTGAATAATTCTTATATAGTTATACTTATGAGTGAATGGGTGTTCGTATTTTGTGACTTTTACCCGATTCCGAGACGTGGGCCCGAGGAGACTTTTTAGGGCGATTTTCTAATTTCTTGTCGTAGCTTTGATTTCATTAATTATATTAGTTTCTTATAGTTATATTTATGGTATGTAATTTATTTTGGCTAGATTTGGGCCATTCAGAGTCGGATATTCGAGGAAAGAGCATTGTTACCGATTGATTGAGCTTGGTTCGAGGTAAGTGGCTTGCCTAACCTTGTGTGGGGGAACTCCCCTTAGGATTTGGTATGTTTTTGATATAGGAGCGCCGTGTACATGAGGTGACGAGTATGTACACGGGCTAATTATTGTAAAAACCCAATTTCTGCTAAGTAATAACTTGTTTCCTTCTTATTTGAGTTACATGAGCATGTGTAGTATCTTTTTAGCTTAGAAGAGCATGTCTACTTGCCTTAATTGTTTATCTGAATACAGTGCAACATGTTTTGTGAATTTCCTGCTTTTCCTTGACTCGTACTTAGACTAAATTGTAGGATTTCGTGTTGTAGCTGTTAATTCTATTGTTTGAGCTGCATATTTACTTTTGGGACTACGAAATGGTATTTCGGGAGATCCCCCTATATATTTACTTTGGGACTACGGAACGGTATTCCGGAAGATCCTCCCTATCTTGCATATTTACTTTGGGACTACAGAACGGTATTCCGGGAGATCCCCCATGCACATTTACATTTGGGACTACGAGACGGTATCTCGGGATATCCCCTATTGTTATCTCTGTGTACTAAGCTGTTACCTTTCTATGATTTCATTCTTGTTAAATTTCAGTCTTTACTTTACTGCGATATTTCATTCTGTCTTGTTTTTATTATATATATACCAGTAGGGCCCTGACCTGAACTCGTTACTACTTGACCGAGGTTAGGCTTGGCACTTACTGGGTACCGTTGTGGTGTACTCATGCCCTTTCCTGCATATATTTTGGTATGCATATTCAGGTACTGCTTATCAGTTGCATTATCAGTGAGTCGAGACAGCTTGGGAGACTTTAAGGTATATCTGTCGCGTCCGCAGTCCTCGGAGTCCCTTTCTACTCTTACACATGTCAAACACTTCCTGTATTCCCTTTTGTTAGACTCTAGAGTATAGAGATACTATTTTCTTTCTGTAGTTTGTGATTCATGATGTTTCGGGTTTTGGGCATGCTGTGTATTACTGAGTAGTTGGTTATTGTATATGCCGAGCGACATCTCAAATGTCTTATTTACTTTATCT